CACTATTATTTGATAAAACCATATCTCTCCTTAAGAATCTTGCCTTTCTTTTTTTCTTGCCACAAGGCTCTCACCGAGACAGAGCACTCATTAATACTGACTGATCAAATACTATGTCTTCAGAAAGCCTCCTTCTGATCTTTCTAGAACCGTTGGAAGAATGGAACCTCCTTCAGAAGTCTAGCTGAAATATTATGTTGGGAGATTTGATAATCAACTCAGACCAAAGGGCAAGAACTGGACAATCAAGCAGGGCCTCACCCCCAAGGGTGGTGGAAGAATAAGATTCTGCCCTGGTGTGCCTGGGCTAACATGTAAAACATCCAAATGTGGATTAAAATAGCAACCCTGCTTTTGCTGCGTTTCTAGAGGCTAGTCATTCCAGATTAATATGCTAACAGGTTTGACTAGTGAGGACTTTCTTTTGGTTTGGAAATGGCCATCTTGTTACTGTATCCTGACATTGGGGCAGGGGAGGTAAGAGGGAGAGAGGGAGGAAGACAAAGAGAGAAAGAGAGAAAGAGACAGAGACAGAGAGACAGAGACAGAAAGACAGACAGAGAGAGAGAGAGACAAAGAGAGAAGAAAGACAGGGAGGAAGGATTGGGGGAGTGATAAAGAGAATATTTTTCTTTAACATATTTGATTTTAAAAGTGATTTATGACGTGTGTGTAAACTGGGGACTACTAAGGGATAAATAATGGGTTCATTTTACATTTCTAGTACTTTATTGATCATATGTTTCGGCACAACAAAAGATTGTCATAATTATTATATGATTCAAAGTACGAACACTTCATAAGGTGCTCCAAGGCAACCAGGTCATACATTCTTTATTATTTTCTCAGAAATTTTGTCCTTGATTTATGAACTTCCTTAGCCTTTTCTTTTAAAATTATATGCACTACATGCTAAATAACTTAAAGAAAAAAAAAAGATGTGAAACCGCATTAAATCACAGAGCAGTTTTGGTGAGCATTTGAGTCCTCTTCTAGCAGGCATTAGTTAGTTGACCATAGTCCTGTCATTTACTCCTCTTTCCATATGTGTTCATCTTTAAAGTGGGAGTCATGACTCTATTTACTTCACATGACTGCAATGAAAAGCAGTGGACTTACCTGAGGTGTAGTAGCCCATGGCAATGGTTCAATTGTTATAAGATGGCTAGGTAGTCAGGTTACGAGGGGAGCTCCATAATTTATATCCTTTTACCGTTTTATTTATTCCCAAACATGAGAGGAGGATAAAATATTTACAAAATAAAACATGTTTATAAATTACATGATACCATTGCTACAAGTGTCATGTCTCCTTTTCTCCACAGAAAAGCAGACAGCGCCAGATTACATAATAAATAAAGAAACAAACAAGCAAATAATAAAACAAATCAAAGACGAACGTATATTGTTTAATTTCCCTATTTTTCTCGTATGGGACTCAAAATGTGCAGGGAATTCTGGAATGTCACACGCAATAAATGCTACGCTGAATGTGTATATCAAGCAGAGCGAAGTAATGGAGCAGAGAGAGAAGTAATGAGTCACAGAGTGTAGGCATGGAAGATTCCAGTAGGACAGGGCTCTGGGGAGTGGAGGTTGAACCAAAGTTAGGCAGGAAATACAGAGAAAGGAGCCTTAGCGTCCTTAGATAGCCACCCCTCGTTCAACCGGTTCTCTTGCTTCTCATTTAATGAGAATGCTCCCTTTTGTGAAAAGGACCAAAACATCTTCAGGAGGGAACATGGCAGAGGATACTATCGGAATAAGTTGGAGAACATGTAACGTTTTCAAGGATGCTGCTCTCTTGCCTTTCACCAAAGCCAGGTGGTTGAGCTGTTGAAACCTGCCCATGACTATCCCTCCAGTTGGTTGGTGACCATCATGTATATTTCCGCATTTCCACGTGAGGCCACTGTTGCTGTGTCTTTATCACTAAACAGAAGCTCCTCTGTGGGATGTGGCGTAAGCCTGCTTTTGAGGTAAAAGGAATAACGTAGGAGCAAGGCCTGCACCTGAGGAAGAGCTTCTAGCTGTAAGTCACAACCTGCTTGATGATTCAACTCAATTAAATGCTGTGTTTTGATGTGGGAGTGATTTCTTATTAATAAAGAAACTGCCTAGGCCCATTTGCATTTGATAGGCCAACCCTTAGGTGGGTGGAGAAAACAGAACAGAATTCTGGGAGAAAGAAGCTGAGTTGAAGAGTCGCCATGATTCTCCCGCTCCAGACAGACGCAGGTTAAAATCCTCCCTGGTAAGCCAGCTCGTGGGCTACACAGAATATTAGAAATGGGTTAGAACAATATATAAGAGCTAGCCATTAAGAAACTGGAACTAGCCGGGCCAGGCAGTATTTGAAAGAATACAGTTTCCGTGTAATTATTTCTGGGTATAAGCTAGCCATGTGGGCAGCCGGGTGCCGGGGACGCAGCCCCGCCACTCCTATTTCAACAGTGTTTTATGGTCCTAGAACGTCTTAGAAAAAAAAAAAAAAGGCTGAGTTCACTTCAACATGCTGTTGTAGTTATTTAATGTTTTGATTAGGGATTATTATTTAGAGTTTTTTCCCTTTTTTTCTCTTTTTTCCCCTTCTCTCCCCTCTCCCCTCCTTCTTCCTTACCCTTCCTTCCTTCCTTCCTTCCTTCCTTCCTTCCTTCCTTCCTTCCTTCCTTCCTTCCTTCCTTCCTTCCACTTTCTTTCTTTCTCTCTCTCTCTCTTTCTCTCTCTCTTTCTTTCTTTCTTTCTTTCTTTCTTTCTTTCTTTCTTTCTTTCTTTCTTTCTGTGTATCTCTTGCTTGTGAGGACAGAAGTTGCTATCTGGTGTCTGCCAGCATCTCTTTGCAGCTCTATTATTTGAGAGGGCCTCACTGAACCTGTGGCTGACTCTTTTAGCTACACTGACTGTCAACAAACCCCAGGAATGTACCTTTCTTTACCAAGACAGTGTTTGGATTATAGATGTGTACTGTGGTACCCAACATCACCGTTATCATTGTAATCATTTATTATTATTTATGCCAAGGTCTTACAAAACAGCCGGAGTTGGCCTGTAATTCACTATGGAATTACATTTGACCTTGAATTTGTAGGAATCCTTGCTTCATTAAAGCTAACATTATGGGCCTGAATCACCCTGGCCTGTGGGAATTTCTTGGTGATAAGGGAACGGGAGTGGTGCATGGGCCACTTCCTGTTCCTATCATCATAGCTTTTTTTTTTTCTTCTATACACAGCTACTTTGGGCTTGAGATAGGAAATTGCAAACACTTTTGCTCTGTAGAACTTAAAAACGCAGATGGCCTTAATCATCACACATGCATTTTTGTCAGAATTTGTCAATAGCCTCCTTTGTTTTAGGAGTAGGAGAGTGATTTCCTAGTACAATGGAGAGTGAGTTCCAGTGCAATGATAATCCATTTTGGTGAGGCAAATTAAAAAAAAAAAAAAAAAAAAAAAAGCTCTCCCTGCTACTTTAAGTCTGTGGCATTAAACAGAGGTGCCAAGGAGGTGTTTGACTGCCAATGTTTTGAGTTTCCTGAGACACTTAGGAGGAAGATAATGCAACTAGCTAATACATGAGGTTCAGTTTTACAGTTAATATTGTCTGCCTTCCATCTTTGCATAACTCACTGATTTCTACAGGTACTTATCTGTATGGGTTACAACCACAAAATCATGAAGAAAAATGAGGAGACAGAGAACTTTCTTTTTTAAAAACAAAATCTTAATTATGTGTATACACTTGAGAAATATGTCTATTTTTTTCCAGGATGTATATTTTGAATGGAAGCCTGACATTTGGGCCTCCTTTATCCGACCTCTATGTAGATTCTATATCCTATATATGGTTGGAGTATTACTGCCAAAAGCCTTGCCTTCCGCCTCTGCCGTCTGCTAACCTAATCAAACATTTGCTCTCCTAAAACAAAGATGGAGCCAAGAAAGTTTTTCCTATGTTTCAATTGCTGCTTGAAACCGAAGACCCGATCTCTTCTGGATCATTTGAATACTTCATTTATGGTTGGCATTTACTTGACTCCATAGGTCGTGCATACTTTAAAAATTATACTGAGCCCTTATGCAGAGCAGGGGCTCAGTTTCTGCATCAGAGGCTGAAAACGCACTCAATGGTCCATATGCTATGCCAAGTCCAGTTTATAATGGGTCGAGTTGGCATGGATCGTGTATGGCATGGATGTACACTCCTGCACACACACACACACACACACACACACACACACACACACACCCATCAAGGATACAATTGTTTCTAAGTTTCAGAGCTGAATGCTTCATTAAATGCTGGAGCATGTGACCTAATGGGCTTCTGAATTGCTAACTTAATATTTAGCTCCCCCAAATGTAGAGACAAGCACCTTGATGCCCGCCTCACAAATAATCACAGCTGCTGATCTTTCCCAAGAGGTCTCCGTGGACAGACAAGAATGCAAAGTTTTAATTTGCTAATCATCTCGTTGGGGAGTGCTGTGGGGGGAGATGCTAATTGTCTGCAGACATCTGTAATGACCCTTGGACAAAACCGAGGAAAACTAAAGCAAAGCTTTGACAAGGGCAGGAGAGCGGAAACAGAAGCCCTAATTGTGGCCATGTGAAGTGCATTTACCCCCTTTGTATCTTTTGTCGGTGGAACTGCACAATACTTTATAAAGTAACTTTAAAGGACGGGACCAAAAATGACTTTTTCTATCTCTGGGCATAAATGGCCAGACTGGATCTGTGAAATACGTGAGGAAGGTCCGACATTATGGTGCAAATGGAGCGGACAAAAGGGTGTGGGGAGAGCTTTTGCCAGTCGAATTTGGCTAACCTGCAGCAAGCCTATTGTCAAGCTAGGCATGCTTCACTGAGCTGTCTTCCCTCTTTATGGTTAAGTGAACCTGAAAACAATGGCAAAGAAATATGCACTGAGTCATATATTCTACAAAATAGACTGTACTCTCCTCTAACCGAAATTACGACACTTTTAATTCTTGGATTTCTCCACATTTTCGTAGCTAAGGCTCCTATTTGCCTTCTTTGAGCCTCTACCAGTACTGGCAGTTCTGCCCATGGGGAAAACTCTGCGGGACCCCGCCACTGTAGCCCTTGCACTGTTAAGAGGAGTCAAAGGTAAGTTTCTGTCCTTGTAGCATTCTGAGTGTCTGTTTCTTTGCTGGACGTCAAAGATTTCTTGGTTGAGAGAAGTTTTGTTTACTACCCATCCTATGTTCCCCCAGCCCCCCAAAATACTCTTCTTTTGTTGCTGGTTTTTAATGGCTAAAGTATGAAAGAAAAAGCAAAAGGAAACTTGCTGGCACTCTGCTTATGAAACTAAGTACAAAGCCATGTGTTTTGAGCTTAAATATAGACACCCACAGGCAGAATTGTCTAAGGGGAATGTTGTATTCTCCGAAAGGAAAACTGACCAGGGGGTGGGGTGCCACACGATTTTCCAGCTTCAGAAGTAAGGTTGTGGATTTTCTTTTTAAAAGTAAACTTGTTTTGTTGTTGTTGTTTTGTGTTGGGTTTCTTTTTGTCTTTTGTTTTATTAAGGATGAAAATGTTATATAATTTGATAATGGGAAAACTTGAGAAACATGGTCTAAATATCAAGAGAAGCTGCCAATTCTATGAATATGTTTCCCCTCCCTCTTCTCTGTTGGCTTTCCTTGTTGAGGTTAAAATAACACGGAAAATGGACATTTTAAAGGGCTTTAACTTTCTATTGGTCTATAAAACTAACCCAACTGTAGAGACACTGTTTTGTTGTCATTGTATCTTTGTTTGTTTTTCTTTTCTCAGTGAAAGTTGCTAAGTTGACTCAGTGTGTGGATGGATGACATTTAAGGTGTCCCATAATTGCCCCTTTTCCGGTTTACCGCCTGAGAGAGTCTAATGGAATCCCAGATCTCTTTACTCTTCTCTCCCACAGCAAGTTGTGTGTTTCAGTATTCCACATTCTCGGGTATCGAGTTGTTCTTGCCGGGGTCCAGGCAACCCAGGCTCTGTAAAGCACTTTGTAAAAGCTCCCAGTCAATGCCACAGTACTCCTCCCTGCGTGGTCTTGAGAGCTCCTCGGGCAGCCCCTGACTGTTGGGGAGCCTCAGTCTTCTCAGCAGGCCCCTCTCAACACATGCCCTTATTTAGGAGTCTTTTTCCATATCCAGCAAAGGCTAAATCACAATTGATTACTCCTGCTTCCTCCCTCCCTCTGCAGCCTCTTTTTGCTGAGAGCATTAAATGGCTTCTTAGCTGAAGAGTTTCTCATCACTGCTCAAACATTGGACTTTTTTATGAGAGTCCACATTCTGGTTCCTTTCCATGGACAAAACCCAGGAGCAGAGGCCGTGTTTTGAAGGTTGTTAGGAGGATCTGTAACCTAGAAAAGAAAGCTTTTTTTTTTTTTTTGGCAAAATAGCACTTAAGTAAAACTGTCAGGGTGTGAATATAGCAAATGACATTACCTTCTTGGGAAGACATACTGAGTAAAACCCAATGCAGACTAGGAAACAGGAGAGTGCCATTTTAGGAAGCATGACACCCATGTGACTGGCTTCATTGTGGAGGGCAAAGAATCTCAGAACACCAGGGAGGGGGAGGGTGTTCAGAAACGACCATATTGATCAAAAAAATAGAACAAGGTTCCAATTTCTAATTTCTTCAAGGAAATAAGTAGACTTATATAAATGCCCAAAGGGCTTAATAGCTAGCTGGTAGGGTGTTTTGAACTCAGGACTTTGTCTTATGTTGGCACTTAGCACCTTCTCATATGTATACCATAAGAGAAAATAGTATGCATGATTTTTTGGGAGAGATTGATAGGACTATATGTACAGACAAATGTATTTTAATAAATTTACTGTATTTTTATGTATGTGTGTATATATACATATGTATGTATATATGCATGTATGTAATAATTGGCTAGTCATCTCCTGCTTAAATATGAATAATCAACTAGGAGAGAATATTCTCAGAAACGATCCATAATTTATCTGTGGGAAATTCAACAAATTCAAGGACTAGAGTGGTTACATTTCTGAATGTTTTAATTTGATGTTTTGATTATACTGAAGGTGGAGATTCTTGGATGTCTAATAAGAAAAATAAGAAAAAACTATCTTAGCTAAAAGATGATAACTAGGTAGTTTTCTGAGGTCTTGACTTCTGTCATTGTATCCAGTTTGTGTCCACCGGGAAATTTCTAAAGATACTACCTAAAGAAGGTTGGGGAGAATCATAACTCTAGACAATGTGTAATTTCCACATATGACAGTTACTCTAACAAGCAAAATGCCATTTAAGTTTTAGTTGTTCTCTCAGATTAGTTTTTTTTCATAAATAGATACTCAATGTCCTCTTTTAACTTTGTGTTGCAAGTTGGTGTGTGATGGTCAGTTGAACCCAGAGTAGAAGTTGAGGAAGGAGTTGGCCAACAGAACTGACAATATTTCAGTGAAATGGCATATAGATTGTAATAAGAAACAATATTTTTAAAGTAGTGGAAACAAAAGAATACCTTTGAAAACTGTGGTCCTGGCCTGGACAGGTTCCCGACACCTGGGAACCTGTGTGTGATTCGTCCCTGGTCTCAACCATATCATAATCTCTAGGGGTATTGTTTTAGACTGATTGTCATGATTTACACCTTGAGTTAAAACTTCTCATCTTGGCTAACAGACAAACAACATAACATAACAGTCTTCTTTAAAATATTCTCTTAACTATAAATAACTAGAAAATCAAGCACATGGTTTAGTTATTTAAGAAGTGTTTTAAAAATATTTGACCTTCAAATGGAATGAAAGAATTGTACTTAACATTTTATAGATGTGTATATAGTGGTTTATTGATATGTGTTACGTTTTCTATAATGTCTAGTGTAAAACCATTATATATTCTGCTTACATTGACAGAGATACATTAGTTTACTTGTTAATAATTTTTGATACTTCCCATCCAAAGGTCCTAAGGTTTTGATGTTGTTTTAATATAAAGTCAGTGGCCAATACCCAAACCCTATCCATTTTTTTTTGGAAAGGGAAATGAAAGGATTATTTTGATTTATTTAAGGATAAACAAGAACAAAGATGTATATTTTTAAACTTGTATGCATTTTTCATGGCTTTCATTTACTAGCTTCTTTTTATAAACTACACAACTGTATCACCATCTTTATAAGAAAAATTTTTTATAAACCAGCAAAATACATAAAATATTGATCTAAATATTTTACCGAAATATTTGAATAAATGTATTTCATATATTTGGATTGATACCTGGTTTTAGAATAAGTCTTGGTTGGCACCCATCATCAAAACTGCTAACACTCTGTATATTCACTCCTTGATAAAAATGTTTGAATTGAGTTAGTGATAGAGCTTTGATTTGTAATTTATATCACCGATATAGTACTGTAAAAAGGCATATGATTTACATTTTTGCTTTTAAATATTCACTGGAGTAAAATATTATTTTAGAAAAGTAATCAAGAGACTTCTCCTATCCCTATCACATATGTAGGAATAGTTGATTTTGTATCTGTGCTTTACAATCAATCAAATGTAATGTAGAGAAAACTTATCATGGAGCAGAGAAATATGTGGTTAAAATTAACTGAAAAGTAATTTTTGCTGCATAGAACCTTGATTTCCTTTTCACTTTCCTATGTATTTTGTCTTTCAAAGAAGACTTATTCTATGTAGTATGTAAATGGCCTAATTCATCTTCTTTTAGGCTATTGTTCCCTTATTTTATTCAATTTATTTTTATAATTATTTTATAATTAAAAGTATTCTCCCTCTATGTGAGAGTGTTATAACTCCAGTAAAGCAAACACTGACTCAAAGCACAACATTAACTTCAGACTAAAACTAATCATAGGACATTATAATCTTGAAGCATGATTCCTAAGGAGGCTATTACAGAATGAATGAGTTGATTATGATGGAAATTTCCCCTTCTGGTGTAGTTGTGGCCCTCACTTGCCTACCCTGCCATAGAACTTCTCCAGCACTCGTGTTCTTCAATACTTGCTGGTGTAACGATTCACAATTGAAGTTCCAACACTGATAGGACCATTTAAATGAAATTGTTCTACATAATTTCATGATATATGAAACAGATTAAAATAATTGAATTGCTTCAATATATCCCATGAGTGTTTGAGATATCTTGATTCCCATTCTCTTGCTGAACTCTATAAAGGCAGTTTCTGACCCATCGAAGTGGTATTTCATGGGGCAGGGGTGATGGGGTGAATTCAGAGATGGACTTTGGGGGGGCCAGAATTCAGAGGCTGAGGTGGAATTTTGTTCCAGGAAGGAAAGTGACAGTGTCTGTCGTGTTGCTATAAATCTGTTGGCTTGCATTAAAATAAATCTATGTGAAAACTTTAATTTTGTATTCTGTTATTAATCAATACGTTAGGATCCAAGGGTGAGTTTAATTTTCTATGTCCTTTTGGGAAATCAGATTTTCAAAGAAATGATAAATATTTTCTCAGTAATTTTACAAAATGAACTTTCAATTTCAGCTTCATTCTTCAGGTGTGGGCAATGCATGGAGCTTGGGGATAATGTCTTACTCCACAATGGAAGTTGAATCCTTTTTAAAACCCATATAGTTAACATGACAATTGAGTGACTCCTTGCTGCTACTGTAATTTAGACTTCTAGTCACACAACTGCACCCCTGTTAGGGTACAATTAATGGAAATGTTAAGAAAAGGACTAATGTAGATGGAAATGAAGGAACAAGATAGAGCTCTATCCTGTCAATGTGGCTTTGTCGAAGAATGTAAGATTTGTTACAGATATTTGCTGACAAGCTTTCGCCCCTTTTACGTAGTCCATCTTCAAGGACTTTGCCAAATGTGTTCTATCCCCAGTCTCAAAGGGTAGGAACAGTTCCCAATAACCCCCAGGAAGTCATTATGCATAAACATGCCCCGTTCCCTTCTGAAGAAATTTCTATTTCTAATTCTACTCATTGCTCACATGGTATAAAGCAAAGTTATTTTAAAATCCAGCTTTTGTATGATAGAAATTGTTGAAGCACACAATTTTCCAAGTGAATATATTTTTGACACTAATATGATCTCCTGATGTGAGACACATTTGTAGGGAAAA